GGAGGTGAAAAATGAGGAGCTGATACCAAGGGCTCAAGTAGAAAGGAAATGTTTTGAAAATTAATGATGGCAACATATGTACAAATGTGCTTGACATTTGTGCTAAGAGTTATAAGAGCTCCCAATAAAAATTGTTTTGTCTTTTTTTTAAAAGAGTGGTCATTATTTTTTTTGCCTCTCCATGGGAATCTTTAGTAAAAGGCAAAAGATTTACACAATCTGAAGAGAAACCAGAGTGATCATTATTTTTCATTGATGCATTATATTCTATTATATATATTTACTAGAAGTCTAGTTGATTTCTTATCCATCACGCAGGAACATAAGATGGGGGACTTATCCATCAGTCATAATAAGTAATGTGCCTCGACTTACTATGATTCTACACTAATCATTTGTCAGGGAGTTAATTCTGACCCATGCTGATCTTATATGTGTCAGAGTATAATTATGATCCACAACTCAAGCACAAAACGTACTGCCATTGAATCAATTCTGACTCAGAGCCCTCTCATAGGGCAGTAGAAGTGCCCTTGTGGGTTTCTGAGACTGTCAATCTTTATGGGAGGAGAAAGCCTCCTTTTCTTCAGTCATTGCTGTTTTTGTTTGTTTGTTACCTGTTTGTGTTTTGTATGATTTTCTGTATAGGAAATCCAGGACAGGTCTATATATAGAGACAGTAACTGGATTGATAATTGCTTAGGAGCATTGTAGGAGAGAATAGGGGCAACGGTGAACTAACATCAGTGAGTACAAGAGAAAATTTCTGAAATTGATTGTGGTGATGATTGCACAAATCCTCTTAATATATTGAACCATTAAATTATGAGGTATGTGACTTACATGCCAATAAAACTACTTAAAATATTTGATTTTATTTTGTTATTGTTGAGACTGTGCATAGCAAAAAATACACCAATTCACTTTTCCACATGGACCATGCAGTGACGATTGCCTTCTTGGAGTTGGGCAACTATTTTTACCCACCTTTTCTTAGTTCAGAGTTTTCAGTGGCTGATTTTTCCGAAGTTGATCGCCAGGCCTTTCTGCGAAGGCATCTCTGGATGGACTCGAACCTCCAGCTTTTGGGGTAACAGCCAAGTGTGTTCACAGTTTCCATTATTTGATTGATTATTTGCCCCATGATTATTTGAGGGCCAAGAATACTTTAAACATGAAAACGAAAAGCTTGTATGGTAAATTACATGAATTTTTACCAAAAGAAGTTTGCGGGTCTGTTTGTTTCACAAACAGATCATCCATTTTGCATGTGATAGTCCATACACATTTTATTTCAATTCTTTGGACCAACAGTACTTTCCACACCTCTTTATAAAATGAGGCTGATGAGGATGGTACTTATGAAAGAAAGACACAGGATAAACCACATCCTTTTGTCAAGCACACGCAAACCCACTGGCATCGACGTGAGTATGACCTTTTAGATCAGAGTAGAACTGTTGCTGTGAGTTTCGGAGGTTCAACATCTGTTCAGGAATAGGAAGCCTCATCTTTCTCCCAAGGAGCAGCTGGTGGGCTCGAGCTGACTTGTGGCGAGCATCCTACTAGACTTCCTGGGCTCCTTGTTATTGGCTCAACATAAAGCTTCTACTTTGCTTCTATTCCTGCTCTCGCGAAAGTTTCAGCAGTGCTTTTGCTTCTTCATGTGGCCAAATGCTTCCCCCACAGCACCACCAAGGTTCCTTTTGTCGGGCATGAGTCCCGTTATTAGCAGTTAATTTTCAGTACTCCAGCTACTAACACACCCCAGAGGAGCATCGTGTCTTGGAGGATGAACTGCAACAATCTTCAGTCAGGTCTCAAACCAAACTCACTGCCATCGACTCATCGCGCTGCTGTAGGGAGAGGGGAGAACTGCCCCTGTGAGTTTCCAGGACTGTGACACATACACACATGCTCTCTCTCTTTGGGCTGGGTACAGTATACTTTATTGTTGGTACGTGACAAGGTCGGGCTCCCTGAGGGGGTCTGGATGGATGAGGTTGGGCTCTCTGCAGGGGGTCTGGATGGAAATTCAAGATGATGGGATATTCTCAGTGTGTTTGGGGATCGAGTTGGGGCAAAGACTCCCCAGCAGCTGAGGGCTTCTCTCTTCCTCTAGCGCTGTTGCTGGGGTTAGTGGCCCAGGGGGGTTGTTATTCCTGGGAGGCCATGTGAACCAAAAGTTCTACCACTCTGTTGCTGTAGCCAAATTCATTGTCATGCCAGGAGATGAACTTGACAAAGTGGTCATTGAGAGCAACGTCAGCCCCAGCATCAAAGGTGGAAGAGTAGGTGTCACTGTTGAAGGTATCGGGACAACTGGGTCCTCAGTGTGCCCCAGGATGCCCTTGAGGGGACCCTCAGATGCCTGATTCACCATCTTCTGGATGTCATCGTACTTGGCAGCTTTCTTCAGATGGCAGGTGAGATTCATGACCAACACATTGTGGGTGGGAACATGGAAGGCCATGCCAGTGGGTTTCCCATTCAAATCCCGGATAACCTTGCCCACAGGTTTGACAGTGCCAGTAGATGTGGGGATGAGGTTCTGGGCAACCCTACAGCCATTGAGCCAGAGTTTCTCAGAGGGGCTGTCCTTGGTCTTCTGGGCAGTGATGGCTTGGACTGTGGTAATGAGTCCTTCCATGATGCCAAAATTGTCATGGATGACCTTGGTCAGGCAGGGCAAGCAGTTGGTGGTGAGGGAGACAATGCTGACAAATCTTGATGGAGTTGTCAGACTTCTAGTGGTTCACGCCCGTCACAAACATGGGGGCATCGGCGGAAGGGGCAGAGATGAGTACCTTTTTGGCACCACCCTTCAAGTGCGCCCCAGCCTTCTTTAAGGTTATAAAGACACTATTGGACTCTACGACATACTTGGCACAAGCTTCACCCCACTTGATGTTGGCAGGATCTCACTCCTGGAAGACAGAGATAGACTTCCCACTGATGATAAGCTTCCAGTTTTGGGCCTTAATAGTGCCATTGAACTTGCTGTGGGTGGAAGCATACTGGAACACGTAGAGTTAGACCATGTAATTCATGTCTATGAAGGTATCAATGTCCACTTTAATGGTACTAATGTCCACTTTGCCAGAGGTGAAAGCAGCCCTTGTGCCCAGGTGGCACAATGCACCCAAATCCGTTTACTCCAACCTTCACCATTGTGTCTGTGGGAGGCGGCTGGGATTGCAAGGGGAACAGGAAGAGGCGGCTGCCTGCTGCACAAGGAGGAGCAGAGAGCCAGGACTGTAACTCTTCACCGGAGTAGAAAGCCCAGTCTTTCTCCTGTGGAGTGAGTGGCTAGTGGTTTGAACTGCTGGCCTTGAGTGAGCAGCCCGACACCTAACCACTATGCCACCAGGGCTCCTCGGTCAGGTCTGGCACTCTTTTATTGGAGTATAAATGAAACAGATTTATTCCCAAGTAAGAGTTCAGCAAGCTATTTCTAGATAAAAGGAGAGGTAGCAGAGGGAGTAGGCCAGGACAAGAAAAGGGGGCAGGACATGGAACTTTCCCAGGTCCTCGGGGCCAAGCAGGGGGCCACATGAGCTTGTGTAGAGGCTTGGTGGTAAAGCAAAGACATTTGAAAGACAGCACTCCATGTGTGCTTCATGGATACACACGATGCTAGGTTATTGCACACAATGGGATATCTGCATGGTGCAAAAGAGAGGGGTTGAGTCTGGCCACTGATACCTGTGGACCTGGTTCACAGGGACTAGAGAAGATGAGAGTGAGTTGGCTGGTCTGAAGTTCATGACCTCGCCCAAGGTGGCTGGGGTTTCTGAGAATTTATGATGCTGCCTATGGTCTAAATGTGAGGCGACCAATGGTGAGGCTAAGTGAGATGGCCCACAGTGAGTTGACCAGAACCCGAAGAGATGAAGAAAAGATTTTTGAGCCTGTGAACTGGTGTCTATTGCTGCCTGTCCTGATTTGACTTTGCTTATGGATGCAGCATCACAAAGTTCCAACTGGAATGAAGATTCTTCACATCAAAGAACATGCTTGTCTCTTCAGAGCACTGGGTTCATAAAAGTGGCCAGCGTAGAAATTGGATACCCAAAATGGGGAGGGTAAAGGCATGAAGTGGCTGGCTTACACACTTTCATAGGTGGGGGAATAAGCTCATAGGATTATAGGATTGGGGTGTAGGTGTTCCCTTAACTGCAATTGTTTGGCATAGAAGAGTTGTTTTGTTCACTTATAGAATATTACTTTTAAATGAGGCTGGCACATCTTGAATCATATAGATTTTAGTTTTATCCTGTTAGGTACAGATACGGTTTTATTACTGTACTGTTTAAAAATTATGTATGGCTAAAGAGTTGTGTACAAGTGTCAAGTTGACAAGGGGTGGTCTGTGGCAGTTACATAATTTCCTGTCAACTTGAGTGAAGGGGTGAAGTCTAGCCTGTCAATCAGGTCATAGCCAATGATGCCTCTGTGTGGGCGTGGCCTTCTCATGAGGATTCGGTGAACTCCTGTCTTTCTCCCTGAGGCAGGACACACACTCTCTCTGGTTCACATTCTGTTGATAAACCACATGAGGCCATGCTGATGGCAGCCAGAGCCCTGGAGCTGGAGGAGCCACATGGAGAGCCATGTTAGTGCTGAGATGCTTCCACAAGACTTTCACCCACTGGCCTGTGATCTTCCTGCTTTCGGCCTCATTGCATGTGTTGCGTGAGTTTATAGAAGAAGTGATGGACTAGTATCAGACATTTGGGCTAATATCAGACTTATGGGATAATCTCAAACTTGTGGACTTGTTCTCGACTTGGCTGGGATGTTTTCTTAGTATAAAATTACTCTTGGAAATAAAACTCTGTCTTACACACATGTGAGTGTCGCTGGATTTGTTTCTCTAGTCAATCCAGACTAACACAATACATATGGCATATCATTCCATAGTTCAAACATGTCAAGCAGAATTGTACAATTGCTTCCACAATGTAATGAACACTAATGATAGAAGACCTGATGTGCTGTGGAAAGACTTCCAGAATGCCATTCATGAAAAAAAGCAGAAAGTCATTAACAAGACAGGAAAGAAAGAAAAGATCAAAGTGGATGTCAGCAGAGACTCTGGAGCTTGCTCTAAATCTTACAGTAGCTAAAGCAAATGGAACAAAGGATGAAGTCAAAGAGCTGAATAGAAGATTTCAAAGGGAAGCCTGAGAAGCCAAAGCCAAAGATTATAATCAAATGTGCAAAGGCCTAGAAGTAG